CCCTTTACTTATTAGATGAAATGCTCGTAGCTATCCGATTTCTTAGACTATAGAGATGATTGGCACCATTCTGGTCTGCAATCAGCTCTATGGTTATTTTTTGCTCTATAAAAAAAAGACTGACAATTTTGAGAAAAAAACAATATTTTGGACTTTTTGCTATAACACACGCCCAGTAAAAAAATTTAAAAATCAAATTTTGTCATAAATTTAGGCCAAAATGTATTCTGCGACATGTCTTTGCTAAACAAAAATCCCAATACGTGTAAATTAATTGGTTTACGTGAAAGTTATAGCATTTACAAATGGCGGTGTGTATATACTAGAATTTAAATTTTTTTATACTAATAATGGCGGCGATCAGCGACCTATGGAGGCGATCAGTGAATTATGGCGGGACTGTGGCAGACATTCTGACACTGGGGGAAAACTGACTTGGGGTCACTGACATCCCCAGTGACACCAATATAGTGATCAGTGTAAAAAAAAACCCCACTGCCACTGTGTAATTATTGGGAAGGAAGGGGTTAGCTTTTGGAGGCAATCAAAGGGTTAACTGTGTGAGCGGAGTGTTTCACTAGGGGGCGGTAGGGTGTGTTCTTCACAGGAACACACTGATCTGGAAAGCTGAACTCTGCTATCTGGTACAGTGTGCTGGAAACTGACAGGGAGGAGAGCTGCAGTGTAAACACTGCATCCGTCCTCTCTGTCAGTAATTGTCGGTAATCGCTGGGCTCCAGCGGGTAATCACCGGCAGGGACTCGGTGATTGACACCTGCGGCCGCGATCTGTGGCGTGGGTAGGGCAGTCACGCGCCTCCTACCCCATATGCAAAATCACACATATATATACATGATTTTGTGCAGCGTTGTCGCCCTTCCGCAGTAAATGTACTCTGGCTGGTCATCAACCAGTTAACTCCATGAACAATAAGAAATAAGAAATAATGACAGATATCTGGTTGGAGTTTGATTTCCATCAAATTAGATTATTGAGAGAATAAAGGAAATCTCAGGAGTATATGTCAGCTATATAAATGTGCAGAGCAGAGCAAAACACAACTTACCTATTCACTCTCCCAGCTTCAAATGCCACTTCTGCCACTCACCTCCCCTATTCCCCCCCCACTCCCACCCCAACACAGTGGAAGCTGGTCATGTGACCAAGCATCATACCATATATGGTCAAAGGCCCAAACAAGTGCCCAGCCATGTCTCCTGTGCTGTCACACTTTGAATGACAATTGCGCGGTTATGCAACATTGTACCCATATGAAATTTGTATAAATAGAGCTTTCTTTTGGTGGTATTTAACCATCACTGGGTGTTTTATTTTTTACGCTATAAACAAAAAAAGAGCAAAAAAAAAAAAGTTTTTCTTTTTTTCCATTATAAAATTTTGCAAACAGGTAATTTTTCTCCTTCACTGACGTGCGTTGATGAGGTGGCACTTATAGGCAGCACTAATGGGCACTGATAGGCTGCACTGATGAGGCGGCACTGATGGGCGTTGATAAGGAGGCACTGATGATGCTGCACTGACATGCAGCACTGATAGTTGGCACTGGTGGGCACTGATAGGCTGCACTGGTGGGCATTGATGAGGAGGCACTGATATGCAGCAATGATGGGCACTGATAGGCGGCACTGGCTTGACAGCACTGACTGGCACTGGCAAAGTAATTCTTTGCTATAAGCAAATTGTGTAAAAAAATACTGATCATATTGGTGACAATATGTAAAAAAAAAAATAGTGAAACTAATTTTTTTAATTTTTTCATTTTCGGAAAAATTATGACAAAAAAAAAAACAACTTCAAAAAACTCGCCATGCCTGTTATGAAGTACGTTGGACTGTCTACTCTAAAAGGGGTCATTTGGGGGATATCTGTACTGTTCTGACATTTGGGGGATATCTGTACTGTCCTGACATTTGGGGGATATCTGTACTGTCCTGACATTTGGGGGATATCTGTACTGTCCTGACATTTGGGGGATATCTGTACTGTCCTGACATTTGGGGTATATCTGTACTGTTTTGACATTCTTGGACCTCAAGAAATTAGATTGGCCGTCAGTACTTCAGAACTGATCAATATTCAGATCTATACCATAGTTTGTGAACTCTATAACTTTCCTACAAACTAAAAAACACATCGTAATTTGGGTTATTTTCACCAAAGACATGGAGCAGAATACATCTCGGCCTAAATTTATGAAGAACAATTATTTATTTGCAAACTTTTATAACAGAAACAAAGAAAAACGTGTGTTTTTTTTCAAAATTTTTGGTCTTTTTTTGTTAATTTAGCAAAAAATAAAAACCCCAGCGGTGATTAAATACCACCAAAAGAAAGCTCTAGTTGTGTGAAGAAAATGATACAATTTTAGTTTGGGTACAGTGTTGTATGACCGCGCAATTGTCATTCAAAGTGTGAGAGCGCTGAAACCTGAAAACTGGCCTGGGCAGGAAGGTGTAAAATTGCCCGTATTGAATTGGTTAAACATGGGCAGTAAAAAATTTTTTAAAAATCTACATTTCTTCATAAATTGAGGCCAATGTATTCTGTGACATGTCTTTGCTAAATAAAAATCCCAATATGTGTAAATTAATAGGCTTTTGTGAAAGCCATAACCTTTGATACTGAACCTCGTGACAAGGAAAATTGGCGACTTCAGTCACAGAGGCACCAGCTAAGCGGCACAACAATTTGCCCAATCTCAGTCCCTTGACTGTAGGGGGGCAGAAGGGGGGTGCACCACGTTGAGGGGGGTGTGCTGGAGGTTGGTTCCGCTCCTCATTGACTGAGTGACTTTAGGCTCACTCTTGCTGGAAGGAGGATTTGTCTTTCTCCTCCCTCCAGGCTGCAGAGGGCAGCAGAGAGCCGGGATGCTGGCAGCCCTTCTATCCCTCTGCCTTGTTTTTGGATCCCTTACCTGAGCTGAGGGGAAGGGGACATGAATGGCGGACTGAAGAAAACCATGTGAGTCAGATATTATCCCATATATACAGCTGAGAAAAGTGAGGCCAGCCTGGGCCGTATTGTATGTTTATCACCCTATAAATGTCCCTGGGGGAGGGGGGGGACTGTCATGGCTGCTTAGCTGCTTAGCAACTGACTTTTCTGAGCACACATGCTGATAGGTCTGGACCGGGCCTACGGTATTTCTGAGCCGTCACACATGTATTGTACGCCGTCCCACATGTATGGAGGGATTGTACGCCGTCCGTACATGTATGGTGGGATTGTACGCCGTCCGCACTGTCACACGCCGTCCGCACCGAGTACATGTATGGTGGGATTGTACACCATCCGCCGTCCGCACCGAGTACATGCATGGTGGGATTGTACGCCGCCGTCATGTATGGTGGGATTGTACGCCCCGCACCAGTACATGTATGGGATTGTACGGTTGTACGAGTACGTCCGCACCGAGTACATGTATGGAGGGATTGTACGCCGTCCACACCGAGTACATGTATGGTGGGATTGTACAAGGCCGGGCTTCAATCAGAATGTCCTAGGCCACCTTTTTAAAGACACGGCCTTTCCTGGCACTAAAATCATTCATTTCTTGCTAGAAAATTACCTACAAACCCCAAATATTATGAATTTCTATTTTTTTAGCAGAGTCCCTGGAGAATATAATGGAGGTCATTGCAATGTTTTATGTCACACGGTTTTTCAAATGCAAGTTTATTGGAAGAAAACACTTTAATAAAAAAGAAAGTAAAAAAAAAAACAAACCTGAATATATACCCCCCTTTTTTTTTTTTTGTAAAATATGAAAGATGATGTTACATGGATTTTAAAATTGCGCACGCTCGTGGAATGGCGTCAAATTATGGTACCTAAAGTAAAATCTCAATAGGCAATGATTTAAACATTTCTACAGGTTACCAGTTTGGAGTTACAAAGGAGGTCTGTTGTTAGAATTACCGTATTTTTCGCTCCATAAGACGCACCTAGGTTTTAGAGGAGAAAAACAAGAAATAAAATATTCTGAACCAATGGACTGCAGGACATAGTACAGGAGATGACCAGAGACTGCGGACATAGTACAGGAGATGACCAGAGACTGCGGACACAGTACAGGAGATGACCAGAGACTGCAGAGACAGTACAGGAGATGACCAGAGACTGCGGACATAGTACAGGATGACCAGGACTGCAGACAGTACAGGAGATGACCAGAGACTGCAGACACAGTACAGGAGATGACCAGAGACTGCAGACACAGTACAGGAGATGACCAGAGACTGCAGAGACAGTACAGGAGATGACCAGAGACTGCGGACATAGTACAGGAGATGACCAGAGACTGCAGAGACAGTACAGGAGATGACCAGAGACTGCGGACACAGTACAGGAAATGACCAGAGACTGCAGAGACAGTACAGGAGATGACCAGAGACTGCGGACATAGTACAGGAGATGACCAGAGACTGCGAACATACCAGAGGGGATGACCAGAGACTGCGAACATACTACAGGAGATGACCAGAGACTGCAGACACAGTACAGGGGATGACCAGAGACTGCGGACACAGTACAGGGGATGACCAGAGACTGCGGACACAGTACATGGGATGACCAGAGACTGCGGACACAGTACAGGAGATGACCAGAGACTGCAGACAGTACAGGGGATGACCAGAGACTGCGGACACAGTACAGGAGATGACCAGAGACTGCAGACACAGTACAGGGGATGACCAGAGACTACGGACACAGTACAGGAGAGGACCAGAGACTGCGGACACAGTACAGGAGATGACCAGAGACTGCAGACACAGTACAGGGGATGACCAGAGACTGCGGACACAGTACAGGAGAGGACCAGAGACTGCGGACATAGTACAGGAGATGACCAGAGACTGCGGACATAGCGGAGAGGACCAGAGACTGCAGACAGTACAGGGATGACCAGAGACTGCGGACATAGTACAGGAGATGACCAGAGACTGCAGACATAGTACAGGGGATGACCAGAGACTGCAGACACAGTACAGGGGATGGCCAGAGACTGCGGACACAGTACAGGAGATGACCAGAGACTGCGGACACAGTACAGGGGATGACCAGAGACTGCGGACACAGTATAGGAGATGACCAGAGACTGCGGACATAGTACAGGAGATGACCAGAGACTGCGGACACAGTACAGGGGATGACCAGAGACTGCGGACAGTACAGGAGATGACCAGAGACTGCGGACACAGTACAGGGGATGACCAGAGACTGCGGACACAGTACAGGGGATGACCAGAGACTGCAGACTTCGTACAGGGGATGACCAGAGACTGCAGACTTAGTACAGGGGATGACCAGAGACTGCGGACCTTTGGGGAGGGAGAGCGGGTACCAGAGATTGACAGGTACCCGCTTCCACTTCCGTGGAGTTGTCCTCCTTTTAGTGTGGACACCCGGCTGTTACAGCTGGGTGCCCACTGCGCATGCATGAGAAGCGCTGCGCTTTGTGAATGGCCCAGCGTCTTCTGGGACCTGTCATGTGTCCCAGAAGACGCCAGACCATTCACAAAGTGCAACGCTCCTCGCGCATGCGCAGTGAGCACCCGGCTGTCACAAATGTCGGTGCGGGAAGACTGTACAGCACTGGACCGGGGAACAGGTAAGGCCCTGCTGAAAAGAGCTGAGCAGCCGGCCCGGTATTCTGACACGGTGGTGTTGGAGGAAATACCAGATCGGCCGCTACATATTCGCTCTATAAGATGCACTGACATTTTCCTCCCTTTTTTGGGGGGGGAAAAAAGTGCGTCTTATGGAGCGAAAAATACGTTATCTCTGAAAAATCACAAACGCTCAGCAACCGTCAATTAACGTTTACCAAATCTGAAATAGCCGACAATCAATAAATCTGTAAAGAAAAAGTAAGACAATATTTAGTAATACACATATACTGTACATTTTATATTTGTAACTTCAGCTTTTAGTTCGTATATGTAGTGTATGTAACCACATGGGAACACTCAAGTGTTTCTTTCTAATAAGTCATTATTCTTTACAACGAAATTAAGACTTCCTCTGTGTAGAGTTTTTATATTTGTTTTCCCTGGATGCACATCCCCGGTGGATGTCTTTGCTGCTCAATAAATATCATAACACTTCTAACAAGCAAAATATTGGATGTTGAAAGCTTACCAAGACTTGCATTGTGTATAAATGAATCTTCCAATTTTTCTGTTTTTGATCTCTACATGTTTTTCCATTTGCAATTTTCTATAGCTTTTTTTAAAAATTGCTACACATGCGTCTTATGGAGACCTAATAAAAGGTCTATTATTTTTTTTTTTTTTAAATTTGAGGTTCTTCTACACCAAACTAACTTTTAACTTTACCAGTTTAAATGTAATCAATGCTTAGTGGAGTCTTTTGGGCTTTAAAGGCAGAAGAGTCTGCATAGATCACATTGCAAACATTAAATCAACCTTCCCTACTTGTAATTTGTACTCAGGTGAAGCCACAATTCCCTGATATCTAAATGATATTAAGGTTTTCCACAAAATCATGGACATGCTGTCATCCTTCTGTATATGGTAGCAAACTTCCTCACCACACAATCATTTGTATCTCCACAGGTCAGATGGTTGAGTGAATGGCCACTAAAAATGAGAGTTATTTGGATGTTTTTTTTTTTTCTGTTGGGGTTTTCCAAAGGCCAGACGGTGCGTTCACCTTCCATTGACTTATACAATCCCTGTAAATGAGAATATAGCTGGACGTGTATTGCAGGCCATAGACGGGTCGAAAAATCGGCCGATTTTTCTTTTAAAAAAACGAAAAATCGGTCGGTCAAGCGGCCGACGTTACCAGCAACGGTAAAAAAAATCGGCCGATTTGCATCCCGTCTACAGCCGGCAAAAAGTGTCCCTGCAGAGAGCTCCGCTATTTCTTTGACAGTTCCTTGACATTTATAGCGGTTGCAACAATGTATCTATTTGTATCCATTCAGGATACAGATGTTTTTATTCGGAAACAAATAGATACATTGTTGCAACCGCTATGTCAAGGAACTGTCAAAGAAATAGCGGAGCTCTCTGCAGGGACACTTTTTGCCGGACTGGAATTCCTCTTCTTCTTCATCCTCTTCTTCTTCTTCAGCCTCTTCTTCTTCTTCAGCCTCTTCTTCTTCTTCAGCCTCTTCTTCTTCATTCTTCTCTTCATCCTCTTCTTCTCCTCTTCTTCATCCTCTTCATCCTCTTCTTCTTCTTCTTCCTCTTCATCCTCTTCATCCTCTTCTTCCTCTTCATCCTCTTCTTCCTCTTCATCCTCTTCTTCTTCTTCATCCTCTTCTTCTTCATCCTTCTTCTTCTTCATCCTCTTCTTCTTCATCCCCCTCTTCCTCTTCTTCTTCATCCTCTTCTTCATCCTCTTCCTCTTCTTCATCCTCTTCTTCTTTTTTCTTCTTTTTGTCTTCCTCTTGCAGGTCACTGCTCATGTGCAGATTTTTTTTCAGTAAAAGATCGGCCATTTGCCCATCATTTCCGCGAAAATCGGCCGATCGGCAAAATCGGCCGATTTGTTTCCAACTTTACCGATAAAAAAAAAATCTGCCAAAATACCGAAAAATCGGCCGATTTTCGACCCATCTCTATGGCCTGCATATGTTCGCTTCTTGGTTAGGCTGCACAAATGATAATTTAAGTATTTTTTTAACTGAAAATATAGATTTTATTAACAGTTGTGCTAATTCATATCTACAGCATGAATGTTTTTGTGTCCAACATTCCAACATACAGAAGTTACACTTTATGGAAGCAGCAATAGAAATATGTTTATTGTGTGAAGAAAGAGCAGGTACTATGATACAAAGACACCTTTGGGTAGGAGCTAGCATGTGATGTTGGGATGGCTGAGCAGGTGCTGTGTTCAGGTGGCAATCTGCCCTGGAGGGGTGGATTTGAATCCCACTTCTGCTGGCAAACTTTGAATGCATTGCTATGTGTTTTTTCAAACTTGGATACATTTTCATAAAAACATTTTACATTTTTGTATTTTTCATTTCATTGACTGTGGCTCATATCTATGTAAAATAATAACAAAGCTTTTATTCGCCGATTTGCTGATTTATCACTGTCAAAAAGTGCTGCCGAAAACCCGGGATCGAACCAGGGACCTTTAGATCTTCAGTCTAACGCTCTCCCAACTGAGCTATTTCGGCTTGGTTAGCTGTAGGGATTCTTTGCTGCTGCTGCCTCCTGAAGGCTCTATGTACATGAGCTGCTCCTAAGTTTTTTGCCATTTTTTTTGCCAAAGCTCCTAAAACTCAACTCCATAAAAACCTATGTGACCATGTACAGATAGGCTTTTAGCAGAGTTTAGGAGCTTCCGCGTTTAGGTGAGGTTAAACTTCCCTCTCCTGAAAGCAGAAGAATCACGCGCTCATAATAGGAACGTTTTGACCGCCAAACGTGGGAAAACGCAAAACATGGAAAAATTGCATTACAAAGTTTTGCATTTTCCTGTGGTCAGGGTTTAGTAGACTTGTGTACATGGAGCCTAAGAAGGTCCAAATTCCAGGGAATAGGTTGGCTTTTTGATTATGTGTCACATGATCGGAAGCGCCCGATCATGTATGCATCAGGAGCAGCCTTCAACAACTTTGTGATTGTGCTGACCACTCTCAGCACAGAAAAGCCGCTCCCCATTGACGCATATGTACTGTTCCTTTGTGTTAAAGTCCACCCTCCCAGCTGCTGCATATATGCGTAAAACTGGCAGGAACAGATTTAAAAAAGTGGTTAACAGGTATTTTTTCACTGCAGGAATTTTGTCCCTTTTTTTTTTTTTTACACACGTGCTAAATGCACACAGTTGATGTGGAAAGAAGCCTAACTTTATTTTTCCTCAAAGCAAAGGACCTAAAGACTGAAAAAAAAAAATATATATATATAGATATATAGTGAAGGAAATAAGTATTTGCTCCCCTGCTGATTTTGATTGTTTGCCCCTCACAAAGAAATGATCAGTCTCAAAATCGAATGTTCGGTGCATTGTAACGCTGAGAGATAGAATAGCAACAAAAAATTCAGCAGAAATGCACGTCTAACACATTATGCACTGATTTGCATGTTCATGAGGGAAATAAGTATTTGAACCCCTATCATTCAGCAGAATTTCTGGCTACCAGTGTCTTTCATACAGGTAAGAAGCTGAGATTAAAAGCAGTCTCTTAAAGGGAGTGCTGCTAATCTCATTTTGTTACCTGTATAAAAGACACCTGTCCACAGGAGCAATTAAACAATCAGATTCCAAACTCTCCACCATGGCAAAGACCAAAGAGCTGTCCAAGGATGTCAGGGACAAGATTGTAGACCTACACAAGGCTGGACTGGGCTACCAAACTATCGCCAAGCAGATTGGTGAGAAGGTGACAACAGCTGGTGCAATCATTCACAAATGGAAGAAACACAAAACAACTGTCAGTCTCCCTAGGTCTGGTGCACCATGCAAGATCTCACCTCGTGGAGTGTCAATGATCATGAGAACAGTGAGGAATCATCCCAGAACTACACATGAGGATCTTGTCAATGATCTCCAGGCAGCTGGGACCACAGTCACCAAGAAAACAATTGGTAACACACTACGCCGACAAGGATTGAAATCCTGCAGTGCCCGCAAGGTCCCTCTGCTCAAGAAAGCACATGTCCAGGCCCGTCTGAAGTCTGCCACTGAACATCTGAATGATGCAGAGGAGGACTGGTTAAAAGTGTTGTGGTCAGATGAGACCAAAATCAAGCTCTTTGGCATCAACTCAACTCGCCGTGTTTGAGGAGGAGGAATGCTGCCTATCACCCCAAGAACACCATCCCGACTGTCAAACATGGTGGTGGAAACATTCTGCTTTGGGGTGTTTTTCTGCTAAGGACAGGACAACTGCACCTCATCAAAGGGACGATGGACGGGGCAATGTACCATCAAATCTTGGGTGAGAACCTTCTTCCCTCAGCCAGGGTATTGAAAATGGGTCGTGGATGGGTGTTCCAGCATGACAATGAGCCAAAACACACAGTCAAGGCAACGAAGGAGTGGCTCAAGAAGAAGCACATTAAGGTCCTGGAGTGGCCTAGCCAGTCTCTAGACCTTAATCTTAATCTGTGGAGGGAGCTGAAAGTTCGAGTTGCCAAACGTCAGCCACCAAACCTTAATGACTCGGAGAGGATCTGCCAAGAGGAGTGGGCCAAAATCCCTCCTGAGATGTGTGCAAACCTGGGGGCCAACTCCAGGAAACGTCTGACCTCTGTGATTGCCAACAAGGGATTTGCCACCAAGTACCAAGTCATGTTTTGTGAAGGGATTCAAATACTTATATCCCTCATGAACATGCAAATCAGAGTATCATTTGTTAGATATGCTTTTCTTTTGAATTTTTTGTTGCTATTCTGTCTCTCAGTGTTACAATACACCGAACATTCGATTTTTAGACTGATCATTTCTTCGTAAGTGGGCAAACATTCAAAATCAGCCGGGGAGCAAATACTTATTTCCTTCACTGTGTGTGTATATATATATATATATATATATATATATATATATATACACTGCACTGCATGTTGAAATGAGTTTTTTATATAATACAAAAAATATATGAAAAATATTTTTAAAAAATGATTTTTTAAAAATATATTCTTCAGTTTTTTTTTTTTTACATATAAAAAAGTCATTTTAACATATATTTTTACATATAGTTGTAAATGCATTCCTTCCAAAAATGTAGATCTGTATTTTTAAAGACATACAGTGTACTTGAAAATATATTTCCAAAAATATTTTACATATATTTTGTAATAAAACCGCATTTCAACATACAGTATATATATATATATATATATATATATATATATTGAAATATATTTTTAAGTATATTGAATACAGCCAAAATTGTAGTATTTCAAATATATGTCAATATATTTGAGAAGAATATTTTAAACATATATTTCAAATATATTTTTCTTCCATATGGGTTACCATTTTGTTTTCATACGGTTGTGCTAGCATCTTTTTCCCATCCCGTGTAGCAACCAACACTTGAATGTCAAACTTGCCAGCTATATGGTAAACAAATGAACGCTTTATTAATATTTAGATATTTTTATGATGGTACTGATTCAGGTAGGCATAAAGGATTGTAAAGAATCAATGTCCCTTGTCCATGAACAGCAGAACAGCTATTAGGTTTAGATCCATAATTCCCAACTGGGGACAGGTATAGGTTTTTGAAGATAGTTGGTTCTAAAATCCTACCTGTGCCTATTATATTAGGTCATATGCAGCGGTCATCCTCTTCAACCTACATGAACTGGAAGAGTGGGTGATAACTTGCACTGATCTTTAAGAAATAAAAATAGAGATCTGCAATCAAACCTGGGTCATGTCTATGGGGGGGCATCTACACTGTGCTTTGTGAATGGTCCCACACTCTTCTGGGACCTGTGACCCAGAAGACTGCAAGGAGGGAGGGGGGAGAAAAATGAAAATAATGTCCAGATTTTTCTGCGGACCACCAAAATTTTCTAGCAGACCACCAGCAGTCCATGGACCTACAGTTGGCGACCGCTGCTTAAAAGTGCCTGGAATTCAGCTTTAAACAAGGAAGGGCCAAGTAGCACCCATGTTGGGCTATTATGGCACCAGTTGATCTTCAACTGGTCTTGAATGGCACCTCAGTGAATTATTAATTTCAATCTGTGCCTTAACACATAATATATTTTAATACAAGAGGTAGTAATCATTTTCCTTCTCACATTTTTCCTGTAGGGTTTGGGTGAGTACATGGCAGTCACAAATGATACTTCCATGGATGTCTTTACCTTACTAGGGTTTTCAGAAGAAGGCATAGTATCACTTGTAGTTGGTCTGATCTACACAATAACTGTTCTGGGAAATCTCTCTGTTTTTGGCATCATTCAAGTGGACAGGCACCTCCAGTCACCAATGTATTTTTTCCTGGCTTGCCTATCTTTATTAGATGTCTGTTATTCTTCGGTTACTCTTCCAGCCATGTTGGCCAATGCCATAACAGGCAACAGGAAGATTTCCTTCAATGGATGTCTTACACAACTCTATTTCTTTGTCTGCTTTGGAGGAACAGAATGTCTTTTTCTAACTGTCATGGCTTATGACCGATACGTGGCCATATGTAACCCGCTCCACTACACTACCACAATGAATAAGAAGGTCTGTTCATACCTTGTGGTGGCATGCTGGTTCAGCGGAATGATGAACGCTATGTTTCATACCACAATGACCTGGAAACTAACGTTTTGTGGAGCCCGACATATCAGGCACTACTTTTGTGATGTTCTTCCATTGTTACAAGCAGCTTGTAGTGATATATATGATAGTCAGGTGCTATTACACGTTGTAACGTTTTTTATTGGGATAACGCCATTCATACTTGTCACGCATTCATACATCCGTATAATTTCCACCATACTGAAAATCCGTTCCACTGCAAGAAGGCAGAAAGTCTTCTCCACATGTTCATCCCACCTCATTGTTGTCACAGTGTTTTACTCAACTGCCATCTTCAATTATAACGGTCCAAACTCTGGAGATTCCTTTGTGTTTGTCCGAATGGCTTCTCTTCTTTACAGTATTGTTCCTCCATTGCTGAACCCGGTTGTTTACTGTCTGAGAAATAAGGAGGTGAAGAGAGCCTTGAGGGATGTTCTTACTAAATTATATATCTTGTTTAAACTATAATCCCACCCAACTCTGGAAATAATTTAGAGTATTAAACAAACAAGTTTTTTGTTTTGCTTTTTACTGGTTTAATTAATTTTTTATTAAAGTTTTTGCAAAAGTACATCAAGGCACATAAATGCAAAAATGGAACATAAGGTGCAATAAAGGCTGGGCATCCCAAACACAAAATTTAGGTACCAGCAAGATTACATGAGGTTTGCTCCACCACCATTCCCGTCATTAATCATGAACAATATAGAAAGCCCCACAACTGGACGACAGCAAGGTTCATGGTCTAGCAGAAAGGGGCTGGTTAAAGAGCCACAGTAAGGAAAAGGATCCAAAGTCAATGCAAAATTTTGCAAAAATGGAACATAAGGTGCAATAAAGACTGGGCATCCCAAACACAAAATATAGGTACCAGCAAGATTACATGAGGTTTGACCCGCCACCATTTCCGTCATTAATCATGAACAATATAGAAAGCCCCACAACTGGACGACAGCAAGGTTCAAGGTCTAGCAGAAAGGGCTGGTTAAAGAGCCACAGTAAGGAAAAGGATCTGAAGTCAATGCAAAATTTTGCAAAAATGGAACATAAGGTGCAATAAAGGCTGGGCATCCCAAACACAAAATTTAGGTACCAGCAAGATTACATGAGGTTTGCCCCGCCACCATTTCCGTCAATCATGAACAATATAGAAAGCCCCACAACTGGACGACAGCAAGGTTCATGGTCTAGCAGAAAGGGCTGGTTAAAGAGCCAAAGTAAGGAAAAGGATCCGAAGTCAATGCAAAATTTTGCATGGACATGTAATCACAGATCTGCCCAATCAGAATGAGAGGGTAGAAAAAGAAAAAGAGAAAAAAAAAGGGAGAGGGAGGGCACCAGGGGAGAAGAGAGAACACTGGGGGGGGGGGGAGTTGTGGGGGTAGAAGAGAGGAGAAGCCTTGGAATGCCAGCATGCACTTAAGTCTTGCCCCAATATAGGGGTAAAAATCAAAGCAATTCCCTGTGGTTAGGCTGTGAATAGTCAATCCATGGGGTCTAAATCTTTAGAAACCCATCATGTTTATACACCAATATGGCCTTAAATTCTCATGGACCATTATGCCATTCAGATGGGACTTAACTTCCTGAAAAGTAAGCATAGGACATTTCCAGGACTGGGCAATAGTTTGGTGGCAGTAAAGCGAAAGGCAATAAGTTTGACCTCCTTAGCATACATCCAAGATGGCCACTCCACAAGTTCCGGTCTACGTCTGACCTGCTAGCGCGTTTCGTCACTTACGACTTTATCCTAAAAAAATAGAAGTGACAAAACCCATCGGAAAGTGACGTCAGCCGTAGACCGCAACCTGCGGAGCGGCCATCTTGGATGAGGTCTAGAGTGAGCAAACGCTGATGCTGATTTTTAATGAAGAGAAATGCTGATGTGCTGTTTGTTTGTAAGTGCTTTTTATTGGAATAAATAGTTGGTTTTAAAAACGTAATGCACTATGTATGCTTATCTATTCTGATCCATTATACATTGCCATTGGAAACCGGGAATACTATTCGTTTGAAAGAGCTGTTTCTATCCCATGCTTTTGGACTGGCTTAGTCCGGTAAGGAGCATGGTCTGTGAGGTGGTGGAGTGTTAACCTCCCTGGCGGTATTATTATTTCATATTTTTGGTGCTGAAAGCGGTACCATTATTTTGCATGGAAATATATAGTTTTTTTATTGTAGGCTGTAATTTTTAGGAATAACTCACTGAAATCTGTCTGAACAAGATTCTAAATCATACATTTAATTCAATAATATAAAACAAACCAAAAACACTGAAATTTGAAATATAGCGCCAAGTTCGCACATCGCTGAGCAAAGTCACAAAATCGTTTTCAGTGTCTGACGAATTTCTCCACGAATCATTATCACTCAATTCTGCAAGTGGTTCTGATTTACTATCGCTGTTCTCTAGCTGATCTAAACCCGCTTTTGACCTAAAGGGACACTTTTTGGACGCCATGGACTTTTCTAAGTTTCCAGGCAGAAAGAACAATCAAAATGCAGGCAGGGGACAGGACAAAGCACTCGGGACAAAATGTATGTGAAATGGGTTGAAACAACAATGTTTTACTATGTAAAATCGTTTTGAAAAAAATGACATTTTTTTTAAATTTTCAAATTTCCCGCCGCCGCCGGCGGCGCCCGTACGTCCCGACGTCACAGGGACCGGAACACAGGAGGCGGAGGAGGTGGCCAGGGATACTGCAGGGGGGACATCGCGGGAGCGAAGGACAAGGTAAGTGCTGCAGGGACTTCCTATGCAGCGCCGCATGGTAAGCCCGAGTGTAGCTCGGGGTTACCGCTTTTGGTACTGAAACTTTACCCCGAGCTACACTCGGGAATACTGCACTAGGGAGGTTAATTCACTTATCACTGGTGGTCACAATGGATGATTGAGGGGAGCACGAGAAACAGATAATATCACACTATATTACATTTCTCCGGAGGGTATATCTCCTATGAAGGGGAAGACGGAAGGGGAGGTTGTATATTGGAAGAATCTTGTTGGTGGAATTTGTTATAAGGCGGTTTTCTAGTATATCGAGGGTAAGAGTAAGGATTACAGACGTATAGAAGTGAACACATGGTGGAGTGGTCAAGCACGATTTTACACTAATTTTTGTGAGTGAATCTTTTTGATAGCTGTGAGTTCACTGAGGATTGTCACAAGTTAGCCTGCAGTTTCTTGTTTGTTTATTCTTACCTCCTTGCTGCTCCTGATTCCTTCACATGTGTGGTTTGTCTGTGCTCATCTATGGGCATCGTCTGCTGTTCTCTGGGTTTTATTTCCTTCCCTTTCATCACTTCCTGGCCCGCCTCCTTGTTTGCCTGCCTATGTAAGACATGCTCAGACTAGGCCGCTTTGCCTGAGCAACTTACTAGTTGTCGGAGCTCCTGTGTGTTACTACTGTCTGAATCCTACATTGACTACTCGTGTACCAACCCTGGCTTCGTTCTCTGACCTTGCTTGTTTTCCTCCTGTCCTGACCTCAGCTTGCCTATCAGATTCCATTTGTCTCCTCCCTTTATACTCTGCTCCCGCGAGCGGTCTCCTCAACCTCAGCTGGGCATACCTGGGGGCCGCGACCTGGTCCCAGCTTGCTGCAAGTCCATCCCCACCATCAGGGGCTCTGGTGAACAAGCAGGCTGGGGCTTAGACTCTGCGCTCTGGGGAGCCCCAAGTTGAGGATCAATAAGAGCTCACTACCACAGGTGCCGACAAGGATAATACACTATGTGCGTTTATATCTTTCTTTGAGGGTAAAAAGTGGAAGAGGAAGTAAGAATCACACACGGAAGGATATTGAATAAGAAGAAGGATTAATTTTACATCACTGTAGGGGTCATTTATTATATAGATTTAT